CCCCAAACCAGGGAAGACTTAGAAAGGAGTAATCCTTTACTCTCCGATTACGCACCACTTCCCTGCAGTCCACCGCCCCTCCTCAAAGCCATTCAGAGTTGACACAGATTAGGAACAATGCCATGTTATAATTCAAGCAGCATGTGCACTGTGGAGAGGAAGAGGAAATGACCCGGTTCTTACACAAGTGCCCAAACCAGGAGGATCCAACTGCGGCAACCACTGGTCCCTGCACTACAGTATCTGATGTCTCTGGATCTCAGCAAATGCTCAGGAACAAGCAGCCTCCTCTTGGTATATGCCATTCCATCCTAGTCCTGGCTTTGAGAGATGGGGCAAGAGTCATAAATTCTCAATAAAAAAAAAAAAGGTAATTGAAATTCACTTTCAGGAAGGCATGTGAAGGCCACACAGTGGTGTTGAGCCATCAATCAAACGGACCTGAGTAGGATCTGAGCTTCAGGCAGCGGGAGGGAGCGGGGACAGTCACTACTGAGGACCACACAACAGTGTGCATATAATAAGGCTGTGGTCCCTATCACCAACACCCACCACGACACTTCACTAGAGGATTCCAATACTTGAAAATGTAACAGTTAAGTCTTGAGACAAACCACTTCTGGTCTGGGCACCCACTCAAGTCTGCAGGACAAGACAGAAGACAAGTAATCAACTTTTTCTTTGTTGGTATACTAAAACCTTATCCCTCTACTGAATCAACCTTATCCCTCTACTGAATCAATATAAAATGTTTTGGCATGAGTGATATATGACATAGGTAGATTTGGGAGTAGAGAGCCACCTATGAAAGCTTCTCCATTGTTCCCTGGCTCCACCCAACCTGCCACAGGCTGACTTCATACTAAATGAACTCTTCAGAGACACTGGTCCTGAAATTTATACATCTTAGCACTGAATCAATTCTTCACAACCATAAGGTTGTCAAGTAATTTAATACATGCACATTTATAACCAAGAATGTTTGAAAAATAAACAAGTTTAAACTCATTTCAAGGTGCTGACAAATTCTCAATGACCCGTGAGGGGACCACTCTCTAGAGGGAGCTGAGGATACCTCTTCATTAGCCACTGAGCTTCAAGGCTGCCCATAACAGGACAGGCTGAGCTAAACAAAAAGCCAGATGAAAATGCCACACTATAGCTCCACTATATTCCAAACCAGGTATACATAATTTTAAAATCACCACTGAAAAGGTAAGACTAAATGTCAACATGAACAAGTCTAGTTGACCACCAAAGCATTTTATTTATAGACATAACACCCAGATGTAAAAATCTAGGGCCTCTTCTCTGTCCATCATTCTCCACAATGTTCAATGTGACTATTATTTGAAATAAAGTTTTCCCAAGTAAGCTGTGTGGAATTCAGTCTGCAGCCAGAGCTAATAGTCTTTCACCAAATGAAAGAGAAGATACTGTGTCTATTACCTCATACCCATAGGTCCAAACTCTCCCAAAGCAACTACCTCCTGTGTCTTCTGGGTCTTACCTAGGGAATATACCCAATGGGGAACCAAAATAGCCCAAAGCACATAAAAGAGATGGGCCTGCACATTCTTCCTGGGGTGCAGCATGATGACATTTTGGAGCCAACAAGGCATGGAGAGCCAGACAAGCCAAGCAAACAGCAACACCGCAGGTGGGCTAGGAGCTAATGGACCACAGAAGGCGACTCCAATGAGCTGACCACATCCATCTGAACCTGCAGAGGCCCTCGCAGCTCTCCCTGCTCTTTGAACTGCTAAAGCATGAAGTACAAAACGGACCTTTCATGCCGGTGCAAACCCTAAGACCATCAAATAGCAGGGCCTAGCCTGCAAACTGAGACAAGAGGTGCTTGGTGCACATTCTGCCTGCTGGGAATAAGCTCCCTGGAGTCAGTGCTGTGACATGGACAATTCAGCAGAGGTTGGGTGGGGAGAATGGATGCATTTCTCTCTAACCACTTCACCACATTATCTTTGGAAAAATGGGCAGACATTATCTTGTTTTGTGTAGATCTGTTTGACACTTAGCAGCTGCTGTGATTTCCTTTCCCTTCACATTTTACAGGTGGGTTTTTCCTGCGTACTTTCTAAAAATTAACTATGTGTAGAGGCAACGGTTATTTTCTAATAGCCTGCGATCCATTTTTGTGATTGATTAGACATGATGACAATTACCAGGATCAACAGGCTCCAAGTAATCAACAGGAGATTCTGTTACCTCCTGCGACATCCTCTCTCACCTCAACCTTTGCACTGCTGTGTTCCAAGCCAGCCAAGTGTTACTGTTATGGCAGTTTATTTACTCTATGTATGTACCAGGAGAATAAATGAGTTAGGCTGTGTGTTTGCCTTCTACAGATAGGGGTATCAGTCCGTAGACAGGAGATGATCTGAACCTTGTAGGAAAAAAAAAAACAATTATTAAAATATACATATTGCATTTAGCTATTAAAAACCAACGGCACACAATCTGCTCTGAAGAAATTCCACTGGGAACTGGAACACACACAAAATATAAAAAGAAAAAGAAGAGAAAAGCAAATTGTATACATATACAGTATAGAGATTTTTTTTTTCCTGCAGTAAAGTGCTGATCCAAACCTGCCCCAAGGAAATGAGTTCTTTTTAAACACAAAAATGCAATCAGGGATAATCAGCAAGTTAACAACATACTTGCAAACACCCTGGTCCCTAGAAAGGAAGAATGCCAGCTTTCAATACAAGTTTTGAGAACAGAACAGATCCTTTGGGCGAATAAGAAAACAAGTGATCATGTCAGCGTCTTCAGGCAGAACTTTCTCCAAAGCCAAGAAGCTCTGGAACAGCAGTCAGCTCCAGAAGGCACCTGCTTGTGAGAAGCACTTCAATAACCACATTCCCAAAATGGTTTGTAGACTGGGGTTGCCTCTTCCCCACCCCTTCTCCCAGTGGGTTCAGTGGAGGAAAAACAGAAGCCAAATAAGGACAGTATAGATGCCTGGCATCTCCGGCTCTGACAGCCCACCCACAGGAAGAGAGAAAGATGTGATGCCTAACCCATTAGAAGAAAGGAGTGGAGACCCAGGCAACTCCTGCAATAGCCCATGCATGACAAGACCTCTGACGTGTTCTAGTCTCCAGTAGGTACCGCCTGGGAAATAAATTTTCTTTTAATTTTTTAAAATATTCTTAAATAGCCACTGATAGCTAAAGTTCACATCAAGCACAACCTGCTTTAGGGGTTGGGATGTTCTGGAAACACTTAAGGAACACCTGCAGTTTTTAATTACAAATCCCAAGGTAGCAGGGCCTTACCTGAATGAAGAAATCTTGGAAGTCAGTGGCAAGGCATTCACCTGGCCACACCCACCTGGCACCACCCACCTGGCACCAGCCATCTGGCCTCCCTTGATCTTGTACTTGTTAGTTCTTAACTTTGATTGTGCATTGGAATTATGTGGAGAGCTTTAAAAATGTACAGATGCTTGGATCCCATGCCAAGAGATTCTGATTTAATTAGCCTGGGGTGTGGTCTGGAGTTTAAATTCCCCCAAGACAATCCTAACATGCAGCTAAGTTGAGAACCCTGTTCTGCCCTATACCTCACATCACCTCCACAAAGAGACTAGTAGGGGATGGCAACATAAAACCCGTCTAAGAGAATCCAGGGCTTAACCCAAAAAGGATAGGAAGAAATGTGACTTCCTTGCCTCCTGTCACCCTAACCTCTCAACATACATACCTGTATGGTCCGTTCTCAGGTTCTCCAGCAGTTCCTGCTACCCAAATCTAAGCTGTGAGTGAGTCTAGGAATCCAGGAATCTGGATTTTAAGTATTTGTCGAATGAAAGTTTGAGTCACCTCTCTTAGATCTAATCCCAAACAGTCAGGATTTGGTGAGCAAGGGAGGGCTGCCTAAGCCTTTGTGCCTCCCTGCTTCTCCCTGGGAAGTCACAGTTGAACCTGGGAGGTTCTCCAGATATGCTGTATACTCTCAGCTCCCTTGGAGGCTTGGCTGAACAAGGCTGTAGTCAATCTCTGTTCCTCTTTGCAATGTTCTCAGTACTTGGAGAGGATGGGAAAGGGAGCCACATCTAAAGAGGTACCTCATGTGAGAAATCCTCATTGACAAAACAAAGAGGCAAGAAGGGCCTGGCCCAGATGCCTCATCCACCTTTCAGACACCTCCTGGAGGGCTGGGAGGTGGGGCGGGCCACAAAGGAACTGGGTTCATTTTTCTTTACACAGGCATTCTTCATGTGAGGGACGATTAAGAGGAAGTGATGGGGAGTTTCCCAACTATCCCTAAGGGTCCAAACCTCAAGGGGTCAGGACGGACACAGGTAGAAATTTGGCAATTTCTGTTTTTGTTTTTGTTTTTTCTTTTTTGAGACAGTCTCACTCTGTCACCCAGGCTGGAGTGCAGTGGTGAAATCTCAGCTCACCGCAACCCCCACCTCCCAGGTTAGAGCCATTATCCTGCCTCAGCCTTGCGAGTAACTGTGACTACAGGCATGTGCCACCATGCCCAGCTAATTTTTGTATTTTTAGTAGAGACAGGGTTTCACCATGTTGGCCAGGCTGGTCTCCAGCTCCTGACCTCAAGTGATCTGCCCACTTCAGCCTCCCAAAGTGCTAGGATTACAGGTGTGAGCCACCGTGCCTAGCCGAAATTTGCCAGTTTCTATCTGATTTCTTGCCCTGGGTTGACTGTGATAAACGGTGCTGCAGTGAGAGGGGCCAAGCTGGGACAGACCCTACTTCATCTAACCCTCTGAGTAGAGTACAGAGCCCAGGGTTCAGGGGCCAGTGTTCTCCTCCTGCTGAGATCTGACAGATTCGATTCTCCATTGAGAGTAGGCAAAGGATTTCCACTGCCCCCTCAGGGCAAGGGGCCCAGTGATCTAACATGAAGCTAAAGATGTGCATCCATATAGAACTGGTTTCTAACAGGAGCCCCAGCTTCAGCTACCCCGTGGGTGGGTCTCTAGCAAGATAGGGAGAGGGTCTTACCTTCTGAGCAGAGCTTGCCACCATAGCCAGTGGTAGAACAGTCACAGGTGGGGTGGCCGTCCAAGAGAAAGCAGATCCCACCATTTTCACAGGGACGCTCACCACAGGGTCCCTCGGCATCCAACTGGACACCCTGGCTCCCTAGAAGCCGAGGCTCCGAGTTTCCATACTTGAGATCCAGAATTAATCCCTTGAAGCCGGGCATGGCCTGTACTCCATCAAGGGTCAGGGCAGAAGGTCGTATGTCAGCAGGGACTCCACCAAGGAACAAGTCACTGACCACATCCATGTAGGGCCGCTGGGGCTGCAGCTCCCCAGACTGGCCCTCGCCGTCAAGCATCAGCACCGTGCGCAGGCGGTCGCGGCTCACCATGAGGAAGTGCCAGCTGCTGTCATTCACCTGCTTGTTGGACAGCACGGCAGTCTCGGCACAGTCCATGCTGAAGCGGAGCTGAACGCGGCCATCCACCAGGGAGAGGCATAGGAAGTCGCAGACGCCGCCATCATCCAGGTAGAGGAGCAGACCCGTGGAGACGTTGGTCTTGAACTGGAAACTCAGGTCGCTGCGCGTGCTGGCATCCCAGCGGAGGTAGCGGGCCCACTGGTTGGGGAGGCCCATGAACTCAAGGCCCAGGCAGAGCCCCAGCAGAGACCCCAGCAGGATGCTGACCTTCAGAGTGAAGAAAACCGAGTGGAGTGTGGAACTCATTGTGGCTGCTGGGACAGAGCCCAGAGGAGCAGACACACCAGGGAACAGCCCAGAGAGGATCTCTCCCTTTGGCAATAGAAGTGGGAGAGGAAGACAAGACGGAGATGAGGGGACAGAAAGCACACAGGAGGAAGGCAGCACACACACAGATCCTGAGATGGTGGAGAGGGAGGAAAGTGTACAAGAGAGTCCCAAAAGGGCACACAAGCAAGAAATTGAATAAAGGCAGTAGAAAAAGATAGGACCAGCAGAAGAGGAGGAAAATCAGGTGGGGAAGTGAGGGACTGGAGTAAAGAGGAAAGCGTCTTTCTCCAAGAAAAGATCTCAGCTATCCATGTGGATCCGGAGGCCTTGACTCAAGGAGGAGAAGGTGCAGGAGAGTAGGAAGAAGTCTTTAGCGATGCACTCCTCCCAACGGACCCCCAAACGCCCTAGCCAGGGAGGCCAGGGACAGGGCCAGGCTGCTGTGATGGAGGAGGAGTGAGTGGTGAGGTGAGCCAGGTGACAGGTAGAAACAGGCCAAGGACCAGTCCTAAAGTTCTACCTCCTAGCAGCGGCAGGCTGTGGGGAGGGGGGCAGCTAGAAGCCCAATGCTCAGACAGAGCAGGGCCCAGGGCAGAGCGCAAGCAGACTCAGGCTTCATGGTGCGGCCAGAGGCAGTGCTGCCCATAACTTGCCTCCCAGGACTCCAGAGAAAAGACCTGTGGGAAGAAGGGGAGGGAAAAGGAGAGGAAGATTAGGGCCATATATCAGGAAAACATTTCATCCTATTTCACAAGTATTGATGGAATGCTGACTTCGAGCCAAGCTATTCTAGTGATTGCTACAGCGCTTAGTGCTTCAAACAGGAGGGAGGCCCTGGGTTCTTCCAGAGCCACTATAAGACCCGAGCCCAGGTCCTAATGATGCACTCAGGTTTTCCATATGTAAAAATAATGAAAATCCCCAAAGCCATATCAGCACATTATTACAATATTCACATCACAAGGTCACATTGCCAAAATGTATTTTTAAGATAAGTGCTAACATTTTATGTATTCAAATGCTCACACCTGATTTTTACTTATTTACCTATTAAAAGCATGCAAATGACATTAAATTTTTTTCTAGATTTTTCCTTTTCAATTTGACAACTCACTGTAGGAAGCCTAAGGCAGAGTGCTACCCCTAAATTTGTGAAAGAAATGTTTATAAAAATCAGTGAAAATAAACTGGAAGGTGAGTAATGAGTAAAATAATCCTCCTCTCTTACTGAATATTGAGAGAAGGGTTATTTTACGCCGTCAAAAAAAAAAAAAAAAAAAAAAAAAAAAAGGCTGAGTTTGAATCCTAGCTCCTGTATGTGGCACTCTGAGAAAATTTCTTAATCTATTTGAGCTTCTATTTCCTCATTTGTAAAGTAGAGAATATAATAGCCTCTTCCCAAGATTGAAGAGAGGAATCAATCCTAGCATAAGGCTTTTCTTGTTTTTTGTTTTTGTTTTTGTTTTTTTGAGACAGAGTCTCGCTCTTTTGCCCAGGCTAGAATGCAGTAGCATGAGCTTGGCTTACTGCAACCTCCACCTCTTCAAGCAATTCTTCTGCCTCAGCCTCCCAAGTAGCTGGAATTACAGGCATGTGCCACAATGCACAGCTAATTTTTGTATTTTTAGTAGAGACGGAGTTTCATCATGTTGCCCAGGCTGGTCTTGAACTTCTGATCTGCCCACTTAGGCCTCCCAAAGTGCTGGGATTATAGGCATGAGCCACTGCCGCCGGCCACATGAGGCTTTATACATAGTAGGTGACCAACAAATCCTAGGTTTCTTCCTTTATTTCTGAAGTCGGAAGGGACAGGAGGAGGGGTTATTTGTGTATGTCTGTGTATGTGTGGATGTATGTATGGCTATAGAGTGAGCAATGTGTAAAAACAAAAATACTAAAAAAGATTATGAAAACTGCAGAATGGATGACAACTGAATAGTTAAGAAATTCCTAGAGTGATAATGGATAGTTCCGAATGACCTAGAGTATTTTACATGTATTTTATGATTATTCAGAAACAGTTAGAAATGTACCAGCATGCAGTTTGGTTTCTGAGGGCAGACTCTGGCCCACCTAACTGAGTTCTCTGCTCAGATCAAACAGTGAGTGTGATTTCTAGGAGCTGTGCAGGTTGCTTATTACCTGACACATTTGATAATTCACCATGGTCTCCATCAGAACATTGCTATCCACTATTTTTATGATAACCACATCAGCAAAGCTAGTTATTACCCCTTCTTTGAAGAGGAAGCTGCTGTTCCTTAACCAGGAACAAACACCTATTCCCAAGGAACAAACAAACCCAACCAACAAGAGGCTGATTAAATCCATCATAAGGAAAGCCTTTGTTCTATAAAAGCCTTTGTCCAAGCAATGTTCCCTAAAGTGTGGCACAGGTGCTGTGCCAAACTTCCATAGACTCCAACAGGGAAGGTACCAGGTTCAAGAGGCAGAAGAAGAATCCCAGAGCCAGCAAATGAGACATGGAGTTTTATTGGGAGCTTACATCCAGAGGAGAGTCCAGTGGTGGAGAGCCGGGTAGGAGAGCTGCAACTGCTTGCAAAAGCATGCAGTTTACACAGCATATTTACTTAGCACCCTCCCCATAACAGTCCCTATCTGGCAACCTTCATTTACCCTAAAACAAAGGGCCTTGATCCTCTGTATAGCCAGTGTTCCATGGGACCGGCCAGGGGCTCATATGTTGCTCATAGAGAAGGAATGAATCTTCTGGTTGGCCACTCCCAGCTTCCCTAGTTTGGGACATATATTCAAGTGCATCTGCCATGCAGCGTCATTCTCAGGGTATGCTCAAGTTATTATCAAGTCCTTTTACCATACACACAGGTACCCCCAGTGGTTCAAGGGATGCTTAGCTGAGACATGGACACAGGAGTGCGCTGATGCCAACTCACAAAGGCTTGTGAGAGCCAACTGCTAAAACTTCAAAAACTTTGACCTGGTTGGCATGACTTTGGTAGCATGAAATAAACAGGCAAGGAGTATCTACATCCCAGAAAAAAAGGCAAATACCACAGAGTCTTTGAGAAGGTGAAATTTAAGTAAAGACCTGAGGCTATGCATGGTGGCTTACGCCTGTAATCCCAGCACTTTGGGAGACCCAGGCAGGTGGATCACCTGAGCTCAGGAGTTCAAGACCAGCCTGGTCAATGTAGTGAAACCCCGTCTCTACTAAAAATACAAAAATTAGTCCTAGTGGCAGGACCCTGTGATCCCAACTACTCATGAGGCTGAGGCAGGGAGAACTGCTGGAACCCAGGAGGCAGAGTTTGCAGTAAACCAAGATCGTGCCACTGTACTCCATCTACTTGTTCCAACAGAACAAGACTCTGTCTCAAAAGAAAAGAAAAGAAAGAAAAAAGAAAAGACTTGAAAGAGTGTGAGGGAACCAGCCATGTAAGTATCTGGAAAGAATGTTTCAGAAGCAATAGTCAATGCAAAAGAACTGAGGCTGGAGTAAGCTGGTATATTTGAAGAACAGCAGGAGGTGGCTGCTGTTGGAGTGGAATGAGTGGACGACATGAAGTCAGACGTGGATAACAGGAGGTTAGGACATGAAATGTGACTCAATTTCTAAGAATATGACCCTTGTATGAGGTGAGGTATGCCAACCAAGTCAAAGGGCAACATCTCAATGAAAAAAGAAAACCCTTCAATTCAACTGTTCATTGAGCTCCAATTCATTCCAGGCACTACCGGATCAAAGCAGAATAAAGACACCAATCTCACCCTCCAGGGCATCACAAACTAGTGAGGGACAAGTTTACTTCAGAGACAGTAAAGCATGGCAATTAAGAGCCCAGGCTCTGGAACCAGATTGCTTATGGGGGGCTCCCTGGAGGCAATGACTGCTTCAACACAGTGCCTGCCACAGGGCCTCATCATGGAGCTGGAGTTTGGGAAGCACTTATAGACAGAATGAACAGTAAAAGCAGAAGTGGAAAAGCATCCCTGTGGATTATTTGACTTCTGTTCCATGCAGTGGCCTCCATACAACCCAACTTTACACAAAGACGGCAATCCTGAGCCCCCATGCCTCTCTGGATGCCAACCTCACATGACCCCAATGAGCAAGGCAGCACATGCTTAATGACCTGGGGAAACCCATGAATGAAAAACTGTGCTGCCCAGAAACATTCCCTTGTGGGGGAAGATCATGGGCACTTACCTAGCCTGCTTTGTTGGGGCCACACACCCCTTCCAGGCTGAGCCTCTCCATTCATTCAGTCCCTTGTCCTTCCCCTCCAGCCCAGACCAGCACTGGAGATACCACCGTTCCCTGCCCTGCATTGTGGGGGATCAAAAAGGCTGACTGAGGAAACCCAGGCTTTCTTTCCCACAGGCAGAATCCAGTTTCAGAAGTGATAACATCAGAAGTGGGCTTATGTAGACTTAACCCTCGATGGTCTATCCACATTCTTTCCTACAGCCCTTCCATTTTATTCTTGGTTTTGGACATTCATGCTGCCTCTGGGAAATTGCCAAAATGGCCAAAAGCTAGAGATGCCCTTACACTAAATATCGCAGGCCTCCAACTGCTGCCAACGTTTATGCTTCAGCCTTCTTTGGCCCTCTGGTAGGGCATGCCAGACTCAAGAAATGGCAAAACAGGAGCCAGGGAGCCCTCTTCACCTGACCAGACAACTTCCACCCTCTGTTGAGCCATAGGAGAATGCAGGCAGCCACACACACAGGTGGTTTGCCCCAGAGCCTGCATGCAGGGCCCGGGCTGGTGCAGAAGCTCAGAACACTTGTCTGTTGTGTGGGAATCAAGCAAGAGAGGGAAAGTGAGTGACATTATCTAATTGCCAGCTAATTTACATAATTATCGAACGGCACACTTTTTATGTGGGGTTAACATCTTTGCAAATGTCTCATAAGCCGGCTGCTTAGGAGGCGGCAGGGTGGTGCAGTGGGGGGGCTCACACAACTCTGACATGTGGGCTATTTGCCACAAGGGTGGCTCAGAAGATCTGGCTGCCATTTGCCCTCCCCATCCCTCCT